GTGCGAGGTGTCGCTACGCACGGCCCGCGCAGGAGTGATGCTAAAGGAAATGAGTGCAAGATTCAAGAAGTCAGAAAGGGATCCGCTCAACAAGTTTTGTCCAGATGCGGGGTGGTTCACTCAGGACAAGATATGGAAATGTCTAGCCCTAGTTACTACTACTTCTCTTGAAAGCCTAAGTATAAGCATTGTTCGTGATCTGTACAACCTTGACTGGATTGGCAGCTTGAGGTGCGACATTGTCATCGTGCGTGATGATCTCTTGCCATTGGCTGATTTGGCATCTCATTGGCCTGCGTGCGCAGTGAATGCCTTGCAATGACACATGTGGGCAAGATCCCCGATGTGGATGATGCTGTACGGTCAGCGGGTATTGCTGGTCATGGATGTGCTTATGACCTCTATCAGCCTCTGTCAGGGGCCGGGTGAGCGGCCTCCCCATCAAAGGTCGGCGTGTCGATCACCTTGTCAATCCGTACTGGCTGCCTCAGCTTTCTTTCCTGACCCTGCCGGTGCGTGAAGCATGCCAGACTGATAAGCAGGAATTGGGGTGGTCTGACTAGAGCATGGATGTGTCTGTTTGCCTTCCAGTACTGAAGCCGCGTCTACCTATATTCATGGTGATGTAAGGATGCGTGGCCGAGTGATCGACAAGTCTGAGAGGTTCCTCAGGCAAGGCTCTACGTGTAACTTCTGAGCAGCGGACGCCATGCCTGCGACTGTAGAATTTCCACTTCCTGTTGCTGCGTCACCTCACGAATGGCACGATCTACGCTACCAAAGCTACCTAGTTCGCAACTTTGTAGCTGATAAAGGCAGGCTACGACAGCATTGAGACAGCACTGATTCCGCCTATTCAGCATTCCGGTGTGGAGGGTTTTGACCTGGCCGTCATGATCACTTGCGTTGGCATTGCGCTCATTTGCGTGCAGGGTCTGATCACGTGGCGCTGACGGCAGGGCATAGCTTGTTCTGCATGGTGAATGGTCCGGTTCCGTTTTGGTCATGCGGTCAGACTGGCCCATGGCCTGTCTCCCCCAAACTGTTTCTAGCTCAGATTGACGTGCAGCATCAGCGTTTTGGTGTGTTGCCTCTTCTCCCCCAGGTCTGCTTGCATTGTCACACCCTATCAGCTTCGGCGTCCCATGTGGGGCCGGTTTGCGCCGAATCTGGTGGGAATCAGCTTCTGGTTGGTCTCCCTCCATCCCGCCAGGAGGCTTCTGATTCACATCCCTATGTGCCATGCGGCCAGACAGGGCTACCCTTTGAAATTCGTGGTTCAGCGTCGCTGCTGTACCCTTCTTAGCTCCATGGCCAGCTTGCTCGACTTGTTGCGTTCTTGTGTGATTCTGACCGATCAGCTGTGTGGATGCCCGGTCTTGCAGCTGGCTGAACTGGTCGTACAGTTTGGCCGCCTTTGGACGCAGGGATAGCGTCAAGAGCATGATGACCGTCTCCGTGCTTTACGACTCCTTGAGCGGCCTGACAGAATGGAATCGATGAATGCAGTCCAGCTTGAAAGGAAGGACAGAGAGAGAGTGAAACGTGAACGCGCCGCGCTTTATGGGATATTCGGTCGGTGACTCCTTATGGAGATGTCGAGCATTCCATCCAAAATAGGTGGGGCCTCCTGGGAAGGACGTACTAATGAACTTTTGCGTGGGTTTGGGGCCTCGCCCCAGCAAACCTCTAGGGCGCTGCATAACCCATAGAAGAAGCAGAAAGTGTAATGGATTGCACTTCACCAGCAAGGGCGTTCTCGGGCCTTTTGTCTGCCGGGGCGAATAACGGGAGCATTGGAAGGGCAGGGGTGGGGCAGAAGAAGAAGACGGGATCAGGGACCGTGACAGTGCGGGCACAGGGCGTTGCCCTGGGAGGGTTGTAGGGCCCTCGTTCGCCTTGAGAAGAAGCAGCCTGGGTCACCACAGCAGTTCACAACAGGGGATTGATGGTGTATGGGTGCTTTGGTGAGGTAGTAGATTTGTGCCAAGTGTGAGTGATGTCATATGATTGGTCTCGCGGCGACTCAACCGGGGCGGGCTTCGCCTAGCTTGCAGCGCTGCGTGCTTGAGGGCGTACAGCTGTGAGAAGAAGAAGAAAGAAATAAAACGTTAAGAAGAGAAAAGAGAAGGACGCATCATTGTTCATCAGTTTCCCCTGTAGCCTGTAGTCATTCATCATTTTCATTGTTTCTTCCTCGCATGTTCATGATTTTTGTCAGATGGTTCTTCATTTTCGTCATTCTGCAATAACTTCCATAGCTTCATCATTCTTATCATTTTGATCATGTTCGTCCCCTTCTCATCATCAATCACATCACAAAAGCAGCGGAACAAAACACACGTTGTAATCTTTGTCCAGGTATTGTAATTGGGGGGCTGCCCTCCCCAACCCTCCAGCTGTTATTTTACAAAGCACATTCGCAATCTGTCACCACGTTCCTTTCTCGCACCAAATGTGCTTTACTCAACCTCCTCTTCACTTACGATATTTTCATCGTCATTCAATATTTTCACTGTTTTTCCGTTGTTTCCCATGATGCTTCATTAGTTTTCATGGTTTTTGTGATTTTCATCATTCTTCATGTTTTCTCAGCATTTTTCATTACATGTTCAGTTTTTTGGTGGGTGGGACATTTCGTCATTTGCATGATTTTGCATCATTTTTTCTCATTCCCATGTTTTCTTGATTTTTCATGATTTGCATGATGTTTCATTTTTCATAGTTTGTCGTCACAATTTTTATGTTTTCACATTTTTCATTATTCATCAGTTCTTTTTCTAAATGTTTTTTTGAATCACGTTCACTATTTCATAGTTTTTCATTGTTTTTCATGGTCGTGCATCATGTTCATAACCCTCCTTGTTTTCATGATATTCATTGTCCTCATATTTCTGCGTCATTTCAGGATTTGCCATCATTTCATTATCATTTAATGTTGAAAAAAAGGATGCTTTCTCATATTTCATCATTGTCATGAGTTTCATGAGTTTGCGTTCATTTTTATCCCCGAATTTGGCTTCGTTCTACTATGCCAGCCACTTTTTTGATGCCATTTGTTTTCTTGACTCTCAGATTTTGTTTCCGTTCGATGCTTATTTGTTTTCTTTATCCTCCACCCACATTGTGGCTCACGCGGTTCAGAAGTTTGCGTGTTTGTCCATAGGCATCTCTGAGCTGTCTGAGGTCCGGGGCAATGCAAGAACCGCAACTGCCAGCGTTGCCACTGCCACGCCAAGCAATTGTGTCTAGGACGGGAGGCTGCCAGGCGAGCTAAGTCGGCGCTTCCGATCCTTGTGAACAACGAGAAGATCCAGTGCAGCGATTGCAAGAAAGTGGCATTGGGAGTCAGGAAACTCACATGCCAGCACTGCAAGAATGCAGTCTCCGCTGCCAAGGACCCTCAGAGATAATACCTGTGTTGCCCATGACATGTTGCAGACATTTGGACACGACGATGTAAAGGAGAAGCCCTTGCAGTATCGATTCAACTTGTCGCTGTGCCAGAATGGCCACCCGCGTGGCCTCTACTTTGTTGGATGCGAGTACGCACGCAGCAGGGCTGCATAGTGGCTCGCGTAGCTCAGAAGTTTGCATGTTTGTCCAGAGGCGTCTGTGATCTGAGGTCGGGGTGAATGCAACAACCGCAACTGCCAGAGTTGCCATTGCCACACACAGCAACTGTGTGTGGCCTTCGGGCGTCACCGGAAAAACCGCACAGCGAGGAGCCACAGCAATGAATGACCGGTTGGTGGCCGTTGGGAAAGGATGGCTATCTGACTGCGAGGACTTCGGCACAGCGCTGAATGCGAGGCCCCCAGTCTGGCCTGGTCGCCCGGTCGCCCGGTCATTGGCAAACATACACATGAGTCCATGAGTGGAGATATTTTGTCATATGGCCCTTCCGACGTCTTCGAGGGGCAGCGGTCTGGAAGTTGGGATGGAGTAGCTCGGAAACCTGCATATGACTAGTAATTGCTTGTGCAAGATAGCGATTGCTTCGGCTGCGATCGCACTTCCAGTCCGCAGTAGCGAAAGAGTGACGTGACAGCGACACCGTTGCTCGCATGGCTGCTGCATGCCATCATTCCTTTTTGAGTTGGTTTACGCCTTCGAATAAAAAAAGCACGGCGCTCTTCTGTGATTTGTTGGACTGTATGAGGGGCTGACTTCCGGGTTCCTCGACGAAGTGAGACAAGGAGAAAGCAGCTACAGAGTGCCGAGGCATTATCCCTCAAGCAAAGAGGGCCAAGTAGTTCGGATGTGGCTCTGGGACTTCCGGAGTTTCCATGCTTCATGAGCAGCTCAAGCATAAATGGCACGGCACCTGGACCCGGGACGGCCTCTAAGCGCATCAGAGTCCTGCATCCTTCACAAGCTCCACAGGTGATCGGCAGACGCAGACAAGCCATCCCATTCGTACAGATGCAACCTTTGACAAGCCACTCCGCAGCGTTTCGCATTCTTGCAAATGCTTTGATCCCTTTGATCCGCCGTTTGGATCAGTCCCGAGCTGAGGAAGAGCAAGGATTTGAAAGAGGACAAATGGAGAACCCTGCTGGTGCCTGACTCGAATCAAGCCAGAAGCGCTCCTGTGCGGCCTGCTCTCTCTCTCTCTCTCTTCTTGTTTGGAGGTGCTGATTCTGCGCGAGAAGGTTTACAGGACGTTAGTGTTCTGGAGACCACGGTTTGAGTTCAAGACCGCTGGAGATCTGGCACAGACGCTATATGACAGAAGCAAAGGCGGAAGAGATGCTCCTCCTAAGCATTCGAAGCATGAAGCAAGTGATCAAGTGCAGCTGGCCATTGAAGCGAATTGAGACAAGGTGCTCTTGGATATGAAGGAGCTTGTGCAAAATGACCAGGAAGCTCCCCAGACCGAAGCATTTTCCAAGCCTTCTGTGCCGTCTGCCTCTTCGGATGCGAGCCTCGAGACCGTGGAGCCAGAACGTGAACGCCCTGGACTTAGAAATCCACGTACTTTTGGGCAGTCATAGACCATGCCACTATCAAGCCAAGGGAAGGCCTGGATCGAAGTCTTTGACTCTGATGTCGCATGCATCATCGACGTTCTGTGCCTTGGCGAGATGGGAAGATCTTGCGAGTCTCGCAGCCACAATCGCGCTTTCAGGATGCTGATTAACGTCAGCATGACGATGGTGGTCGCTCCTTTGACGTTCCTGTGGGACGGCCGCTGGCAAGATCCATCCTCCGTTCCAGGAGGCTGCTGCTCGAGCTCATTTTCCTTTCCTTTCCTGGCAACCCGCTGCGTCGCCTGCTGCGCACTTGTTGAGGCACCGATACCTTATCAATGGACGTTTGTACCTTGGATGCACTGGCCATTCGCACGTGCGAAATCCTTGCGCCGAAGCTTCCTCGTCGCTGCCGAACAGGCTTGGACTTTCTGTATGCCATATACCTCCTGCTTATGCTGGACGACACCTTAGAGCTGTAACGACAAGCAACGTTCATGCTTGGTCACGTCTGACGCTGTGCTGACTTGACATTGAACAGACCCAGGAAATGTCCTACTTGCATCCGGAGCAGAGCAGCTCGATCTCAAAGGGCAGTTGTGTTTTTGAAGCCATGCATCCAGTTGTCCAGCCGTAGCGGAGACGAGGAACAGAGGCGCCGCGGGGTCAACGTTCAAATGCCTTCCGCTTCTGAAGCTGCCATTGGCAAGACAGTGTTCCAAAGTCCAAATCACAGCAAGAGGGAGCAGCGTGGGTTTTGCTTCCGCTGGACAGATCGTCACAAGCCGAAAGATCCGGCGCTGGCGGCTGTGGTCCCCGATTTACTGGCTGAAGTGGCTGAGTGTGACGGCAACTTCCTGAGGATATGTGAAACTGGCCATGTGCACCAAGCAATAGCGTACGATGCATCAGAATGTATCATGTTGATATCATGTTGACTTTTGGGTTGAGGTCCACGTCTGGGCAGCAGCCCTTGGCTGGCCATTGTTCATCAACACCTTGAAGGTTGTTCGGGGCGGAGTGACTCTGGTGGCAGTGAATGTACTTATAGACTCTAATGGCATGTTCCATGTGCCAAGTACACATCCACAAGGTTTTTATTGAATTGCCCGATTCTCTCTGGCGCCTACGTGACAGCAGTGAAGTGCGGCTTACCAAGCCGATCATTCTGCTGATCGGACACCTGGCTGCAAAAATTTGGCGGGCTTCTGAAAGAGCCCTTGTAAGTTTACAGTGCTGGTGCTGGTAAGGTGTCTCACATTGGGCTACTTGATTGCAACCAACACGTGAGCCACAGCAGGGCCGTCAATTCTGCACGCGTGTAAAAATCGACTGAGGTGGCATGCTTGCTTTTTTGTTTCGGCGGATTCTTGGAGAATCTACAGCAGTTCGGGCCAGAAGCATCCGAAACCACTTTCCGAGGAGCTTCACTGGTTTGCCACCTGCCATCCCATCCGAGTTCATGTGCGTATTGGGTAGGGCCATGTAGGGCCCTTCAAACAGGAGAGGTGATTGATGGCAAAGTGTCATCCTATGCGGCGTGCCCGGTGCATCAAGAAGTCAGTCTCGTAGTGCGTGCTGTGAAGCTGGAGGTCGTTGCTTATGTGGAGGCGATCTACATGCTGACTGGAGCTTTGGATGGGCCGACAGGAGACGGGGCAAGAGAAGGGCATTTCGGAGCGTGCCTTGGCGGTTATTCATTCAGTTGTTCCCATTCACCTGCTTCGACTCTGCAAATTGCGGGCTCTAGTTAGGGCTAGGGCAGTGGCAAAGTAGTTTCCAGCATAGTGGTGCATACTTGAAGTTCTTCTCGCAGGCTCATCATCGTGGTAATCTTTGCTCCCATTGGCCAGCTAGCTCTTCGGCCAGATGTGTCCCCCAACTACGCACGCTAGATGTCGTCAACTTGCAGGTTGTCTCGCTGTTTATCGCGGCCATCGTCCAGGTCAGGCGTATGGCCAAGCTTCGTCAGCTAGTGACGCTTGGAAGCTTCAGGAGCAAGATCTCAAGAACGCGCTTGACAAGCGCCACAACGAGAACAAGGCAAAGGACAGAGGGCATTGCAAGAACAAGAACGTTTAGCTTTTCAGTCCACACAAGGCAGCCAGAAAAGCACAAATTTGCCAAGTCTGTGAACTCCTGGAACTGTGGTTCGCCGAGGCTTTTATGCAGCGAGCGGTGCAGACTCTTGGCATTCCCAAGGCCCGAACCGCCTTGGAGGAACAAACAAGTTACACTGGGATTGTTTGCCGGCAGGAATTGCAGAGGCGAGTCTTCAGCATGCACTATTTTCAGAAGATGAGCCACGACATTGAGGCATGGCATGATGCATCTGATGCTCCTCGGGACACAGGAGGCATGCTTGCATCACGTGTTTTGCGCAAAATTGGAGGCCTTTCAGATCCTTTTCGATGGGAAAAACTTGAGCGGGGCCCTCTCCTCCGCGTTGAAGCTTCTCAGCGTGCTCTTAAAGACTGCTCTCAGCTCCAGCCGGTTAAAGCAGAGAAAAGAAAGCAATGTTTTGCCACTTGCGCGACCCCACATCCTCTTCCAAGGATCTACCTCTACAAAGAAAGCGTCCTCAACTGCGCTGCTCAGCAGCATTCATTCACACACAGTCTCCCTGCTGCCTTTGAATGCCACAGCTTGAGCGGCCCTTGCCGAGGCATATTTACGAGACAAGGATCCAAACTACATCATCGAGGCCTGATGTGACAAAGGATTTCGGGGAATCTATGTCGCCTCAGCAGTTCCGGCGAGCCGCCATGCAGACTTGCAAGAAATGTGAAAGGATTGCAGCTGATGCTGCAGAGCATTCAAGGTGAGGTGGCAGGCTTTGTGTGTTGGAAGGTGGTGAAGATCCTGCATGACGTTGTCTGCCTCCCGGGTGTGACCTGGCCATGATCAATGGAGACCCGCGTGTAAGCCAGGCGAACGGGGTTCCATTAAGTGTTCACCAAGGAATATATTGCCCGCCGCGGTGAGATCGCTCACCAAATGTTTTTTATCGCGCGCGGAACTCTTTCGGTGCTTGTACCCGATGTGGACCATCCGAACGATGTGTCCTATGCGAAAGCCGCTCCTGAGCAGAAGGTTCGCGTGTAAATTGCACAGACACACCAGTTTGCCATCCTCAGACAAGTTTTATCAAGGTTCGGCAGCTCAAGCTCTCCGACTACTTTGGCGAGGTTGCCCTGATTAAGGATTGCGTCGGAGACTGAGCTGGATCTTGCCAAGTAGCCTAACAGCGCCAATGCCACTTCCTTGCATGCGTTTGCAGTGGGTCTTTCGCAGGAGCGCCCTCAAATGGCACCAATGTTCTCCTTACATACCTAGCAGAGTTCAGTGGGGAGAAAGCAGAATTTCATGTTGCTTCGGCAGTGGGCCTTTGAAGGCCAGCCTGTCTGCAGGTACGGACAGCTTGGATTCGCGCGGACTCCTACGCGCTGCTCTCGTCGCTCTCCCGCTGCCTCATTGCAGCGAGAGCGAGGGACGCGTGTGGCATTCCTTTTGACAACGTTGAATTAGGTTGCGTTCCCAAAGTGCAGTAGCACTATTTGACACGGCCTTTTTAGGCTTCGACATCGAGCCGGTTTGGAAGTATTTCCCGGACTACAAAGACGAGTTGTCGGAACAGGTGCCGCCTTTTGCATGTGGGCCAGGACAACTCCAGGGTCGGCTCATGAGTGCAAAATGTGCCGCTGCCAGGTCAGCCAGGTTGCTGCCAAGGACAAGAAGAGGAATGCCCAGAATCGCTGGAAAAATGTGGGGCTCGGTGAGACTTCCGGCTGCACGCCAGGGGTGCGCGATAAATGAAAGATCTTCCCTTGAGCCTCAAGCCCAGAATCCTGAATCCTCAATAGCGGAAAAGCCCAAACCCTCACCGTGTATCTTACATGCTGACCCTTTTAGCTCATCACTCTCCGCATCCTTCTTCCTTGTCTGTGGCAAGCCCCCTGGACAGTCATGAATCCGAAGCAATCTAAGGAAGCGCAAGAAGCTGATGGAATACAAGGCTAAGGTACAAGCAGAGGCAGAAGCACCCTCCTCCAGAAAAACTGCAAGGAGGGGCCATGTAAGGCACTGTCGCTGTATCCTTAATGGGCTTCTCAGTGGACTTCAGGGCTGTTCTCCCCAGGGGATCCATCTTAGCAGCTTCAATCCATGACGAGCCTGACGACCAAGCAGTGCTGGAGTCCGGGGACTCGGCAGTGCCTCGCCAAAGCACGTGAGCAGCCCTTACGTATTATCATATAGTAGTTTCCATTTTCTTTTCCATTATCCCAATACAAACCCCATATTCTATCTACTTAAGGGTGCATGGGGATTTTGCTGCAAAAAACAAATCCAAGGCTCTCAACTCACAGGTTGCTTGGAGGCAGTTCATTTCCTTGAGCTTGCTGACGACAAGATACACGATCACCGAGATGCAAGTTGGCCTTCTTCTAACAAAGCGCGGCTTTAGTTCTCAAGAGCCGAGGAACCAGCAGATGAGACCACCAAAATGCTGACAGAACTTCTGCAGCGCCAAACAGGTCTGGAAAAGAAGTTTGAGGCACTAGAACAAGGAGAGGTTTCCGTTCCGCATCATGCCGCGTGCTGGGGAGGAACAGGGCCGCACCATTGCCCAGATCTTGGAAGCACTGCAGAGTCGCCCTGGCGATTTGCCGCCCTTGCCGCCGCCCCCGACTCCGCCACCGAAGAAGGAGCTGCCCTGCACATGCATTTCAGCCTGAGATGACATCGGGCCCTTGTGCTTCAGGTGGTCAGAAAACTGAAGGTCAAGAGGCGCCGCGACCAGAAGCCTCCAGCAGTCAGCTTCTAGAACATGCAGCTGCGCCCTTCATGCAGGGCTGCCGGCGCGGGGATGCCAGAAGAGGTCCTCCGCAGGGCTTTGGGCCATCCTTAATTGCGCGATGATTTGCCAGGCGGAAGAGCAACGTCCAGACAGCGTAGATGTAGATGACCCCGAAGCAGTGCCTTGCGCACGCATGTTGCAAGCATTTTGCTATTCCATGTCTTATTCTTGATTCCGGTTGCCCTGCGCAAGTTGATGTTGAGGAGCCCTTGCTTGGGGAAGGTTCCAGCATTGGGCAGCTTGGCGGCAAGTCAGAGCAAGAAAGGCAAAGACTCGGTTGAAAACATAGGGTCTTTGATCTTTGAACGAAGGCCTGATGCCGAAGAGGCGCGGCCTTTGGGTTTTTGCGATTGGCAGAGACTCATGAACTCAGCATCGTGTACGGTGGCAGTTCTGCCAGGCTGCGTAGACGGCAGAAGATTCCGTGGATCCAGGTCCCGCTGTTTGGACTCTCATACCCTGTCTTGCTGGGCGCATGCACAGCGGCTGCCGAGCAGGCCTTCTGAACGCAGTCATCCGGGATGCGGTGTCCATTGCTTCTATCCATGTGCAGGTTAATGACTGAACCAGCCTGGGGCCATCATCGAAGGCCTGACAATGCAAAAGTTGTGAGCCTCCCTTGCCCGAGTTCCCTTGAGTCAAGGCCACTGGCTTCGCTTTCCTTGGGGTCTTTCGAGGTAAAGCGGCCCCGCGTAGCTTTCGATGCCAGTTCCTGGGAGTCGTTGTACACATAGCACGTGGGGCTTCGTGGGTAGTTTAATGAATGTCCCCATGGGCTGGCCACTTATTGGTGCTGTCTTCAAAGGAGCAGCGTCAGGTTAGTGCCGTGATCTTGAGCAAGGTTCGCTGCGTTGATGGCCAGGGGAGCAGCACCTTGCTCACATCCCCATTACGGGCCGGGAATTCGGCCAGGGCCAAGATAGGGAATCCCACGCCTGACGGAAGAACTGAGAGATGCTGAGATGCTGTTGATTCTTGTGTAAGAGGCAGTGTTGGTGTCAATTGGAAGCAACAAGGTCTTCTTGAGCCTCTCCTCTCAAGTCCACTTGGTGTAGTGCCTTCGGGGCCATGGCTTTGCCTACGCCAGATGCACCTCCCCGGCTGCTGGAGGGAGCCTGGGCTCAACTTGCAGGGGAGGGAGAATAGACTCTGCAGAATTTGCAGAGGGAATGCGGCTTTCGTGGGCAGTGAGTGCTGCATCAGGCATTGGAGACTACGCAGAACTTGCGCGATGCGCCAAGCAGTACCAACGGCGGCGGTCCATGGCCGAACGTCGGACGCTGCTCAGCTCTGAGAATTTCAATCCTCATACCGTGCACATCCGTGCACTTTGCATCACACAGGGGACAGGCTTCAAGCATTCTTTGGGCATGGCGTGCTCCATGGGGTGCAGGTCTAGGATGAGCCAGCTTTCGCGGGCTCCAAGCAATCCTCAGCTTCCGGGGCGCAAGCCATCGCTGGCGTTCATTAAGCTACGCAGGACCGACTTTGCTTGCAACCACTCAGTTTGCCTACTTTAACGGGGTTTGTGTCAGGTCCATAACACCTGTGGTGATCCCAGGGTGGCGAGGCACCATACACCGCATCCTTCAATCCAGCTGGTGTGACATAGTTACCGGCCTTGTGCTACTTGGCTGCCAAGGAAGCTTCTTTGTAGTATTGCGACGAGCCCTGTCATCTCAACTTTTTGAGGATTGTGGTTGACATACTGTTGACCTGCATTGATATTGACATCCGGGCCTCTGGTGGCAGCTCACCGTTCGTGCTTGAACTCCTTTCGAATTTCTGCCTGGCGCTGTATACGGTGGAACTTATGGCCATCATCTTCGTGAAGAGGGTCCAAGTCTTCCAGGACCGTGTGTTTCCGGAGGAAGCACTGCCTTGCGGTAAGCAGGATTAAGCATTGCCATGGACTCCTGCGAGGGGCATCCATTTTTAGAATGAGAACATCCAAACAAGCAAACATCTTTCTTACTACGAAAAGTGAGAAGCAGGAAAAGGGATCAAAGCAAAGGGCAGGACCCTGCGGCACAGAACACTGGCCCTATGATGAATGGTGACAACTCCTCGCACTGTAGGGACTCCTGAAAAAGATTGCCATGAGGACCATGAGTAGCTGGGATGTGCCAACCGCAGCCAACCTCAAAAGCGATACCCCCTCAACAAGGGAAGGAGAACCTGCCGCGTCTCATGTAACGTAGTTAGAGGACCCTTGGACTTTGCTGGACATGCTCATCGTGGTGTTCGGGTTGGTGCAGGTCTTGCTGGGATTCGTTGGTGTCTCCCTGGACAGGGTCACCAGCCTTCGAATGTTACGAGTCGTACGGATAATGCGACTGTTCCGGCTTTTCCGGAAATTCGTGATGCTCAAGGAGTTGCGAAAGCTTATCCGTATGACTGCCAGCTGCTTCAAAACACTATGCTGGTCCTTCCTTTTCTGCCCCCCAATGGCAAAGAAGCACAGGGCTTTTGAATAGTGATGGCAGAGTGGCATATTTTTCAAGATGTTGCAGGTAGACAGATGCAAGTGCATATTCAAATGGCAAAGTCTCAGGCTTTGTTGTGATGACAAGTTGGGCCATGCTGGCGGTGGAACTGCTGAACCCTTACATGTCCGAGCTGTCCTACTTCTGGGATGATTGTGAATTTTGCAAGCGCTCCCTGCAATCCGTGATGTCCGCAAATCTCTTACTCTTCAAAACCGTGGTCGCTGGTGACAGCTGGGGCAAGGTGGCCGTGCCGTTGATCGAGGCACATCCATGGACGGCCACCCCAATTTTCATCGGCTCACAGCTTTCGATTGTCTTTGGCGTGCTGGCTCCTCAGTCCATTCCCCCTTCCTGTCTTGTCTTGTGCAGTCCTGCCCAGTTGGTTCTATGAGGCTGAACTTGGTTGTCGCGGTGGTGGTCGACACCTTCGCCGAGCAGCGCACCAAGGATGTCACAAGCATGGCTCAGGAGATGGACGAGGATGCTGAAGAGGAGCTGCAAGAGCTGGACAAGATCTTTGCCAAGATTGACAGCGACAACGATGGCCAGTTGAGTTGGGAGGAGCTTCCTCAATTGCGATACATGTAGCAGGCATGTATCAAGCCATGCTGACAGTTGGACGAGCTAGCAGGAGCTGGTGAAAGGCGCGCAGAAAGTGCGGGAGTTCCAGCACAGGCTCAGGGTAATGGACATCGACCAGACGGACAGAAAGCAACCGGGAACGGAATGTCTTACCCTAATCTCAGGGGGCAGGCTGCGGCAGGCTGTATGGAGCCGTTGTGCTGTTTGCAGACTCCAGTTCAGGACTTGCAGCAGCTTTTCTCCATGCTGGATCACAACCAGAACAGCACTGTGGATCCCGACGAGTTCAAGCGGACTCTTGCCAGGTGGGCCTTCGACTCCAAAACAGCCACGCGCTTCGTGCGCTACACCCTGCAGCAGTTGATGGATGATCATAGCTCTGCGGCCGAGAAGCTCTCAAAGATGGAGTCGTTCCCTGGCAAGGTCCAGGCATGTCCATGCGCACCCCGAAACTACAATGACAAACGCCAGCAAAAAACGAACAATCCCAAGGCTGGTCCGCGACAGCTTCCAGGATGCCCCAGCTCCGCCCCGGCGCCGGCGCCGACGACGCAAGGCAGCGCTGTAGGTCCTGTAGTAGCTTAGTAGCTTAGTAGCTGATGATCCTGCCAACTCAGTCACTTCCGCAAGTCGACTGAAGGGCAAGCCAGCAGCTGGCAAAGTCTGCTGCACCAAAGGGAGAGCAACTGCCATTCGCAAAGCTTGTGTGCCAACAAGGTGAAGGAAGTCGACAAACCCAGAGAGACTAAGGACTGAGGGGTTGGCGTGCAGATCCGAGCTTTGGCCTCAAACCTCAAACCTCACAGGTAGAGAGGGGGGGGAGGGGTTGTGACTTTTTCCACGGTCGCTTGTGACTTCTGTGTCAATCTGTGATTCATCGCGTTGTGACGTTCGCTAAATGCAGAACTGCTTCGCGTCCGACTCCTCCACAGCAAGTCGCAAGTGACCTCATGCATTTTTGCTGAGATGTGTTGCGTATATTCGCACAGGTGATCCCCCTCCCAATCTCAGGCCTGGCGAATGCCCAAAAGCAGGTCTTGTTGCCGCAAGCACTTGATCCCAACCACTGTTCACAGCACAAGTTGTTCTGATACATGAGCTCTTCCTCGAAGAAACATCCCTGCAGGACGTCTAAGCAGTTCCTCGACAGCGACCTTTGCAGGCGAGAGCCACGAATTCGAGGATTCATCTCTTAGGAACCTCAGGGTGAGTTCATGCAGGTTTGGTGATGTCTGTTCTGAGCATCTAAATACGGATTTGTAGGGGTTGAAGGTGGGTCTCAATACGCGCGGTCAGCATGACAACCCAGCAACTCAACCACTCCCTACCTACACGTGCTGGAACGCCGACTGTCATGTCAACTTCACGGATTGTAATTTACTGTCCTTTGGTGTTCTGGCACGCTGCAATTTTTCAATTTTGGCAGCAGTCAGCTGCACACAAAATTCGTTGCATGGCGTTTCCTTTCCGAAGCCGGATGCCACCTCCGCCACGTGCATGCCACCTTTTGCTGATGACCAAAATCAACAGGTCAGCAGCCTTCCCCGGCGGGTGCAAAGCTCCAAAAACGTAGCTTTAGGCAGCCTGGGTACGAAAGGACTTTCTCTCCGACAAAGAGTCGCTGCCAGGAGAGAATCTTTAGTTCTGATCTTTGAAGGCTCGGTTTGGCTTGGAGTCATTTGCTTGCTGCGAGCAGCTCTGGCCCAACACATGCCGTGAATGCTCACTCCATGCGCCAAAATCCCAGGGGTTTTGCCAGATTCAGGCTGCTGCCAGCATGCATCAGAAGTCCTTCAACCCGCCTAGGGCATAAAGCCTTGCGTGCCGTTGCCATGGCAAACCTCATTCCAGACGATGTGGAGCAGATGCACTCGGCCACTTCCCAACACAGAAGCAAGCAGTCGCACAAAACACGCCCCAAGTGTTAGAGCAGGGTGATCACAGGGATTGCCGCAAAGGTGAAGATCGACTACGTGTCCACGCGCGTTGAGAAGGAAGACCTGGAAAAACTCTTCGGCAAGTACGGTCGAGTTGGTGATGTTGCTGGCTTGCACGACTGCTTGCTTGCTTTTAATTGGGTATGCGAAGCCTTTGGTGCTGCAAGCGTCAGCCATAGCACAAGGTGTATCTCCCAAGCCACCCGAACGGCGACAGAAAGGGCTTCGCCTTTGTCCGCTTTTACAACAAGCAGGCGCGTAGCCCGTCTGCCTGCTCTAACTCTGCAGTATCTCTTCACAGGATGCGGAGGATGCAGTGAAAGAGATGGAAGGTTATGAGCTCGAAGGCAAAACCTTGAAATGTATGCTTGCAACCGTGCAGAAAGGAGGCCTGGCAGCAGTTGGGTATCTTTCCAAAGACACAGCAGTCAGGACCTGAACAACAATTTAAGATGCACAGCTGAGGCCGGTTCAACCCCAACGTGCGAAGGAATCCTCCACGGTCCAGGCAACTGAAAGCAGTGATCCCATCCCCCTAAAGCCTGGCTGCGAGTTGTTTCATTTTTGGAGGTCCCGATCCCGCCGGGGCCGCCGCGACTCGCGAGGGAGATCCCGGCGGAGAGATGTGGCATGGCACCCCAAAGATGGCACGTAGCCAGGTCATGGGGTTTAGGAAAGCCTTAGCAGGTCGATGTCGATGCCCGATTCTTGGGCAAGAGGTGGTTGTCTTGCTTTAACAGCCAGCAGAGCCGTGTGGCGAGCTGCTCCTCCTAGAGCTTGGGGACGGCTGGGGTCTGAAGCTAGTGCCTCCGGAAAAAGGAAAGCTTTTCCACTCGACCCCATTTCGCAAGCTTAACCAGGAGCAGTCCATGTAGCGCAATTTCAGGCGAGATAGCCAAGAGTAGTGGCGCGAGGGCCTACCATACTTCTGGGTCACGGTTCCAGGCTGCCTGCTAGACGCTGCCATGAAGCTATGCAGGTGCTCGAAGTTGAAGTTTGCCGCCCTTCCATTTTTGCAGCAAGTCATGTACCCAACCGCATCTGCAGTATCTCCAGTCACTTGTGATTCCTCCATCCTAATTATTTCAGGACTCAAGACCCCGCCTAGTTCAATATGAATATGAAACAAGGGGGCCCCGTTTCCCTTTTGGAGGGTGTATTCTTTTCTTCACCTTGTTTGTTCTTCTTTGTCGTCCTTTTTTTTGGTCTCCTGGTGTCGTGGTCCCTGCCCCCTCAAGAGAAGGGAAGGAGCAAAGGCCATGACTGCTGTTTAACTTCTTTTTTCTAACATTGCTGCATCAAAGTTGTGCTCTCGCGTGGAGCGTCCTGACACTTTGCTCAGCATCAGAATCTGGCGTGGAGAGTCCTTGTATTTTTACTGCAACTGGTCTCTCGTGGAGTGCCAACGCATTTTTGTCGAAAAAGCGAGCTTTGGCGTGGAACATTCTCAAATTTGGCGCCGAAATTGAGCTCTCGCACGCAGCATCCTCGCACTTTGACTGAAAATCAAGCTCTGGCATCGAGGATCCTCCCAGAAGGAAACGAGGAATAAGTTCGGGAAGAATAGCAAAACCTGATAGGATCCGCAAACCCGAATGCAGACACGTGGCATGTACTCCTCTCCTATCCTCTCCTCTATCCTCTCCTCCTCTCCTCTATCCTCTCCTCCATCCTCTCCTCCACGCTATCATCTATCCTATCCTCTATACTCACTCTCCTCCCTTTCTTAAGACTCCTCCATCCACTCCCCCCGTCTCCTCCAATCCTCTCCTCTATCCTCTCCCCTATCCCTGCCTCCATCCTCTCCTCCATCCCCTCTTCCATTCCCTTCTCCGTCCGCTCCTCCGTCCTCCCCTCTCGCCTTCCCTTCTCTCCGTTTCCTTTCTCCCCTCTCCTCTCTCCACTGGTCTCCGCTCCTCTTCTCTCGTCTCCTCTCTTCTCCTCAAGTTCAGAAGTGACGACACTTCTGCCTTTCGGGCCAGGACTCCCCCCCCTGTCTGTTGACACTTGAGACGCGAGGACCAGAGAAGCGTTCAAAAGTGACGACAGTTCTGCGTTTCGTGACCAGGACCCCCGGTTGCAATGCCAAATATGCGCGACACTATTTGCGAACGCTTGCGAACACAAACGCAACGATTTTTGGTCACCTCGACTCCTAGACTCCAACCTTAAAACGGGAACCCTTCTGCGGAGCATTCGGGAAAAAGAAGAACAACAAGCAGCCAAGGGAAGAGAAACATCTCCACCCCTTTACAAAAAGGCTTGGCCTGTTAAAGTATGCTAGGATTTCAGGCAGCCACTTTTTTCAATGTATTGTTCAGATGCCGCTCCTTTTTCGGAGGAAGAGATGTTCTGTGACTTAGATCGAAGCCTCAGAGCTTCCCTTTTCAGCAGGCCACAAGGGAGGAGTGTAAGGAGCTGAGGATTCCCGCGATCGCCGAGACTCCCGGACGCGAAGGAGGTCACCCCGGCGTGACTCCAGGCACGTAGGGCCAACATGATGCCCAGCCAGTACAGCAGGCGGATAAGTTTAATGATAAATGACTTGCTTTTGGTTACTGTGCGTGTGAACAACTGTGCCCCAACCTTGAAGGCCCAGGCAGCCTCCTCGCAGAGACGACTCGAGCAACTTGGCTTGCTTGGCTTCTCTTTCTGACTTGCGGGTCGTGAGATCCGGTGCGCCTGTGCCTAGGAGACAGCTACAGGCGCCGCTAGGCATGCTCATGTCGTGCGGGTCTCAGGGAAGTCGTCAACATAGACAGGGCGCGGCAGCTGCATGAAAAAGGAAACAGGCGAAAACCTTTCATATAGCGGATGTTGTTTCTAAGAGAACGAGCATTCCGTTTCGCCAGGAAGCCTGACAAAGCAACATGAATTGACCTGAAATTGCCAGCAGGCGCCTGCCCCCCAAGTTGTAAAGCACTGGATGTCCTGTTCAAGCACTGGGCAGCTCCAATTGTTCGGAGGGAAGCTGTTAACACTATCGCATCACATCCCTTAATGTGAGCCGGTGTTACAGTGCCATGCTGTGGTTTCATGTCTTTGCAGGCACTACCCCTCTTTTCCTCAAAGTGTCCTCGCATGCTGTTGCCTTAAATTTCAGACATCTGCCCAGACGGGCTGAGCCCACAGCTTCTGCTGCAGGTCTCTTCAGTGACCGTATGAGTGCGGTGGAAGAGCTCACTTTCACGTGAGTAGTATTTTATTTGGGGATACTATGGTACCCAATATAGAGTAAGATTCTATCCTCCTTTTGGGGCATAGTATTACTAGGTTCAACCACCAAGAAAAACACTGCTCACGTTGCATCAGATCAGCAGCACTACCTAGCCGGCAGTGCTAGCCTTTATGGTATACAAGCAGATGTGGCAAGGATGCATTTGCTAAGACAGAAATCCTTTGCAGCCACAAGCCCTAGCGCAGAACGCACGGCGGCGAAAGCTCTAACTGACGTCATCAAAAAGCGCAAAACAGCCGAAGTGCTGAGTGTGCTTGCGTTTTGTTGCTGAAGGTGCACCTATAGAGTCCATGCAGAATGATCTCCAAGCGATGTGCATTTTGCAGCGTACTTCCTCCAGCTCTGGGCTCAAAGACATGGCGAACTACTCAGGGGATGGGCTGCTGTATTACGAAGGTGCTTTTGTTCTCGATTTACGGGCCTTCATGCATTGATATGGCAGGTGCGGCGGAGGGCGATCCAGTGCTCACTTTCGGCCTACATACCGCCAGCCACAAGCTGGTGCTCGATATAGCAGAGGTCCTTGCATTGGCCTTCTATGTCTGCGTCTCTTTGGCCAGAGCCAGAGCCCCGCAGGAACGCAATCGAAGCCGAGCCGGCGCCGACAAAGTTGCGGGATTCCGGCAGCGCTACGAGGAAGAGGTGCGGACAGCCAGGTTAACCAACATTGTGTTTAGGTTGCAACAACATGCACAACCATACTTAGTCAGCGCTCTCATCGTGCAGGTGAAGGCTGCAAAGAACAAGTACGCGAGCATTGATCCTGAATTCAGCGATGACGACATGAATGCTACCATTGCGGAGGAAGATCGCCTCCTGCCATGGATTGTTTAGTTGCAGCCAGCTTCTTTCTCCACGCAGCTTTCGTGTTTACACATGCTTCTGGGTTCAACATATCCGGATCTGATTGCTGAGGCAAACGTGGGTGGGAGTACCCACTGACGAAGACGCAGCAGAAGAAAGAATTTGGCTGCGTCCCTGCAGATCAACAGCGGTTCCTGTGGCGTTTGCAGGACTTAGCACCCCAGCCAACAGAAATGAACAGAATAAAGGCTGTCATTGTGCTGCATCAGTTTCTGTGGAACGTTTGCCTGCCAGGATGGACACCTTGATATAGTCGAGGAGACTGGGCACGTCATTGCAATTGTCACGCCATTGGTAGATGCCGTGCAGCAGCTAGTGATGCTGATAAACCAGAATGCTCCGCACCCCCCCTGCAATTGTTGAAGGGATGTGCACGTGCAGGACTATCTGCAAAACCCCAAGATGCGCAAAGCCATCGATGTCAATCGCTATGATGACATGGGTTTGACACCTTTGCATCATGCAGCACGCCTTGGCCATGCCGACATCGTGCGGGCCACGATCTCAGAGAAGTCCTTCCGAACGGTTTCATCAGCCAAGCCATTGATTGCTTCAGCAGCTTCAAGTTTGCGCGTAATCGACAATAGGGTGAAATAGACAGCTGGGATTGTCCTCGTGTCGATAGAACAGGCGCTCATCGAGGGCAAGGCTGACCCGCTGTTACGAGACAAAGTGCCTCAGACATGAAAACAGTTTCTGATAGTTGCGTAAGGGTCCTGCCGTGACACGCCGTGTGGTTTGGTTGTGGGTTCCAAGCAGCAGTACGGTTGCAACAGCTCTTCACGGCCTTGATAACCGCCAATGTTAAAGCGGTTTGTGCATTCAATATTGAAACTTGCGCGAGGCACTGTGCCCGATCATGTGAATTTTACAGCTGGAAGATCGCATCTCCAAAGTGCTTCCAGACTGCCCAGAGCAAAACAGACTTCAAGAATCTAAGGCCCAAGGGCTGACCGCTCTCGAATTTGCGCAGCGGGGTCGGGATTGGGACGCGGGACCCAACGAAGATGCGATCAAGGCTGATGTTGGGACTGCTCAACTACTGTCACCGTAGCTTTGTGAAGAGGCACTTACAGACGCAATTTGTCGTGAGTATCCGGAGCTTCTTCAATATCTCAATGCACAGCAGCAGCAGCATAGGAAGGCAAGCAGTAAAAACTGCTAGCAGCTAGGCATTTGGAACTTGGAGCAGCATCATGCAGTGCCATGAGGCAATTCAGCTTTTTGACCCTTGACTCCGAGATGTGAAGACCTTTGCGCTGGCAGCAGCTGGCACCCCGCATCTTCCAAGGCTGAAAAAGTGACCGTGCTTGGGCTCCAAAGCCTCTGCGTTGTACTGCACACCTGCTCAGAAATTGCCATCAAGATTGGAGTGGCCACGCAGAGAGCCACAGCAAGTGTCCAGGACGTTTGGCCTTATGTGATGATCAGCAGGCTCCAGATAGGAAATTTGAAAAGGCTGATGTCGTATTTTTGGGATGTTGGATGCGTGTGTTTGTCAGAATTGTTGCTTCTCTGGGCAGCGGGGAGTAGAGGCTAAAGGATAGGTCTTGCATGTTTATGTGTTTGGGGGTTTGCTGCAGGGAAGGGCGAACACTGAGGATGATTTTTCGTAATTTTTCCGGGCGCTGCCCGGGGGCTATGCGAAGCTCAGTTCACATCTTTTCTGCATATTTATCGCCACTGGGCAGTCAGTTTAAGTGCAAAGGCACGAGCATCGTTTTTCCTGGACTCTTCAGCCTTTGCGACAGCCATTTGAATCTCTTCAGTGGACCCCGTTCAGACAGTTGTAGCCGTGCCTGCTGTGAGCGATGCGCGTTGTCTAATTCCCCCCCCCAAAGACACAAAATTGGCGTCCTTTTCAACAAATCGCCGCTTAGCCAATCATCTTGCATCCTCCCCACAGATGCCCCACAAAATAAAGCCATGCGCAAGCATGATTCGCGCTCGTATTCCAAGTGTCCCAGCAGGAATGCACTCTCGCCTCAAGTGCTAGGAGGCATTGAGGCTGTGGCCGGTACTGTGAACGTTGAAGACAGGGCTTGTCACACGCAAGTATGAAAAGGACATGCTTTCCCTGTGCTCAATGTCTCGCATCTACGCGATTGAATCCTCCAACCCTGCGGAGAACAGCCTTGCGCAAGCTTATTTCCAGAGCTGAGGTTCGCTGTCCAGTGGTTCTGATTGAGATACATCCAGAGTGCAACGCTGATGCTGCTACCACCGGCTCAATATCCATATTGCTGCATGTTTGCAAGGCCACCCCTGCACTGCAGAGTCTAGCCACATCCAATGCTGCCACTTTCAAGCATGCCTCGAGCCAAAATGACAACACGCAACACATCCACCAGACGACCTCGTGTTGCCTTCAAACAAAATCTTGAATATTCAAAGCCTACGTAGTAGCAAACTCAAACAATCACCACAGTCAGAAACAAGAATTCAACAACACATTGCAGGTGCCTCTCATATTCTTGTACGGTGCCACTGGCTGAGGATGCCGTGGTCAGGAAGCCCGACGCAAAGTGAGAGCACTTGCAGTAATGGCATGCGCTGCTTCCTTTGTGCATCACTCTGTCTCAAAGCGCCAAGCTCCAGCAACTTCCCCTCTCTTTTTTTCAACGAGCACAGGACAAAGTTCTGGTGAAAAACTCCAGAAGCGGACGTTACAGATTCTAAGTTGAAAAAGAGCTCAAATCAGGCTTGAAAGGATTTTGCAAAGGAAGGCTATCAAACCTAGGTCTGACCTCGCGAGGCATGTGCCAGGAGCCATTCCTAGGCAACCCAACCCCAGCTTCAGGCTGCACAACCGGCCTATTCTACAGGTGTCTGAAGCTATGACTCGGAAACAGCAGATTTCTGAAACCTGCGCAAGTTTTGTAGTTCCCACACAGCATGCTAAAGAAATGATTGCTGTCCTTCCTGCGGTCTAGTATGATTGTTATGTAAGCTCGAGCTACGCTATGATATGCCCGTCAGCCGTTTGGCTTTGAGGAATGTTCTGTTTCTGATTCAACGACTGAAGACCCATGGCTCACAGCCTGTCCGTTTTTAGGTCACACCACTCCGGCTCACAGCAAAGTCCTGGATTGCCCACAGTAGTACGCACGTCTCGTCTCATGTCTCCAATGCATGCTCTCGCATGGTGTCGCTTGACATCTTCGGCAACGCCTGTGTACAGAAGGTGGAGGCGCAGTCCTAAGTCCTAGCAGTGGGCGACAGCCTTGACTTCATTGAAGTGCAACCAGGCCAGCAGTCCAAGCCCATCGAGCTGCAGGGACGTGGGCTGTGCAGGAGCCAAAGCCTACCAGAAGAGCAACGGACAAAGCCTTGAGGGCTTGTTCAGGCGAGGGGAAGCATAGGGCGATGATGTGATGGGATTATGAGGGGTCTGTGAGACCTGTTTTTTCAGATGGGATGGGGGGCGGCATAGATTGGATTTATCAGTACCGTCATTAGGTAACCCCCTCCCCCCCCCTGAGATGTAACCTGT